TACCGCCGCAGCACCACCAGCTGTCAATACTGGGAATTAGCTCAGACGGCAGGTGGCGGGATCCTTTTCAGGACACTGCCCTCCAGCAGTGCCCACAACAGCCTCTACGCTTCCCCTCCTTCCGGGGGCTGGTTGGTTGTAGGTCGGTAGGCCTTCGGGAGGAGATTCCTCTGCTTCTGGGTTGGGGGGCAGCCAGTCCACCCCACTACACTACCGTGCCTTAAAATAGTCCAAGTCAGTGAGTCTATAGCTGGCCTTGCTTCAAGTCAGGGTGAGAGGTAATAGTTCACGTGCCCGGCCTGCTTCAAGTCTGGGCCTTAGGGGAAGAAGTTCAACATATACTCAAGACTCTCTGCTCACAGTTCCGGGCAGGGCAGCAGTCCTAGTCCTGCCCCTTTAAAAGGTCCGGCCTGGATCCCGGCCGGGCACCAAAGCACAGTATGTAAGCCTGGGCCCTTGAGCAGGGCGGGGCACCAAACACTGGTTCAAACAAGGCCAGGCCCTTGCGCAGGGCAGGGCAACAAACACAATAAGCAAAGCCCACCAAACACACAGGTTTGAGGAAGCTCCTGGTTCAGGGCAGGGTGGGGGCACCTAATACAACAGGCAGGCCTGCCCAGGGTGGGGCCTCAAATACACTAAGCAAGCCTTGGCCCTGGAGCAGGGCGGGGCAATAAAACACAAACACACAAGTTTGTAGAAGCTCTCAGTTCAGGAGCTGGGCAGGTAGCACACCTGCAGCAGTGGCGAGGGAGAGACTGACACTCCTTAGGTGGGTGGCAGGGGGGCGCAGGCCCACCCACTCCACTGTGCCCCAGCCCAGGGGCCCTGGATGCAGCAGTACAGCTGCTACTGGCTGGGCTCAGCAGGGGCTCCAGCCTGCAATGTGCTGGCTTAGGGCTGCTCTCAGCCCATGCTACCCCCTGAGCCAGTCCTCATCTCCCCCTTTGCAGGTACCTGTGTCTCCGGCAAGTCAGTCTGGAAGTCGAGGGCGGTGTCATCCCAGCAGGGTCCAGGCAGCCCAATCCAGGCTTCAGTAGGTTGGAACCTTGCAGTTTCCAGTGGGTTCCCCAGGCCCCAGGTAGACATTGGGGTTCAAACCAATCCCCCAGCTCCCGCAAGTTCTCAGGGTCTCTGGGAGTTGGCAGGTCCCCAAGCTCAGACAAGACCTCAGGGTCCCTGGGTATCCACAGGCCTTGGGGTTCAAGCAGGACCTCCAGCTCAGGCAGCTCCTCAGACTCACCAGACACCAGAGCCCTGGGCTCCTCTGGGTCAGAGGATAGCTCTGCTGACCAGCTTGGCCAGGCCTCGGCATCCCAGGCAGGGCAGTCTTCACGGGCCTTAGGGGAGGCAACAGTGGAAGGCCCAAGCCAGGTCTCAGCCTCAATAGCCAGGAGCTCTGGACAGTCCTCGGTCTCCCTCAGAGGCTGAGCCCACCCCCTGCCTCCGTGTAGAGGGGACATGTGAAGGGAAATCATCCTGCTGGGTCCTGCCCCGGGGTCGGGAGCATGTCACGTCTCTTTGCACAAGCATGTGCCTATTGGGCAATGGCCCCTGGGTGTCACGCAGCTGGAGCCACCTGCCCAAGGGTGGCATGGCACGTGCTTGCACGTGCACAGGTGTCTGCGTGATCCGTGGAAGGCATGGCCCACGCGCGTGGTCTCTGGTCTCCCTCCCGCCTCCCCCCCCCGAACTACTTAATTCAAACTACTTACCCGGTACGGTCTCCCTGGACGACCCTGCCAACTCCGGTGCTGGGACATCCTGTGGTGGCCCCTCCGGTCCCAGCTCGCTGGAGGGCACTGGTGCTAAATCAGCTGG